CCACCAGAGCTGAAGAGGTGAAAGGCCTAACCTGAGAGGGAGCGGGTTAAACGAGGGAGGATGGGACGTTACATTGTGCGCCAGGAGCAAAACCATCATCAGCAAGAGAGAGAGGCTTATACAGCTTCTCCTCCTGTACAACTTGGCCTGCACGACCAGATCGTGATGCATCATCAGAGCGACGATCATGAGCAGGCGCCAACATCAAGATCGCCTGTCTCTCCCGGGGGCGGGCCTAGTTTACGGCACAGACTCAATTCTCACAAAAACTTGCGACCGCAAGATGGTAGTGAGCCATATGAAAACCAAACCAGAAGCCAGCGTTGACGCAGTGGCAATTCGTGTATCGTTCAGTTGGCAGCTTTTTTCAGCCCGTGCAAAACATAAGTTGTCAATTTCAAGGCACTATCATTATTTCTAACCTGCAGGCTGGCTGTTATGCCCGCCATATGCAAACTACAAGCGACAAGACTAAGGGTTATAAAGTATCACATTACCAGCGACAAAGTTCAAATACTTTGAAGAAATTTAAAAAGGTACGAGGGATGCGGAGATTATCCGCCTCAAGCAGCAGGGTATATAACAACATCAGGAACGTCATCTCAAGAGACGACCATAGCAACCGCAACGCAGTAAATAAAAGCGAGCCAGCGCGCTCCACAGGGAACTTGGCAAACAATACGGAACTGCTTTCCAATATGGGCCCCCTAGATAGGGCGTACAAGGGTAGCCGTACTTGTTTTCTCTCCATTGTTTATCGCTTTGACAATAAAAGAAAAGCGCACACAATGTTAACTGTTTTCAATTTTTTTTGCCGAGCGCGCGGGCGGCCCGGCGATGCAGCCGGAGGGTCTCCCCGGCCGGCCGGCCCGCTGACCATGGAGCGTTTATCTCAATTGGACGATCCACCACAAAAGCCCTTCTTCTTCGACTGCAGAGTTATAGGGTTACACGCGGGGGTCATTCAATCAGACGCAGAGAGCGGTGCCACAGCGCCGCAGTGAGTGGCTTTGACCAAACCGAAATGACCATGTAACATGAGCGGATTCTGGTCGCGGAGACGTTTATGCACTCCGACGCCATCAAAGCCGAGTCGGTGGTGGTTGTTGCATTGCTCACGCTTTCCGCGTCTTGCCAAAGAGCACAAGTGAAATAAAAGTGGCTGGGCATCGGTGATGTCTTGGGTAACGTGGTGCAGACAAACCTATCGCCACGAAACTAAAGGATGACAAATAACACCCCTTAAACAGAGGGTCTATTATGTATTTAGTAAACCATTAAAATTACAACACCACACAGACATCAGGATTTGAAGTTGGCAATCTATTTGTACGCTGGACAGAAAACTAAACGAGAAGAAATAAATAGGGAACGACAAATTTAAAAGCTTCCCATTTATTTTCTCCAGTCTAATCTGCTGCTGCGCTGGGGCTCCAAGCCGCTTTCGGACTTGCTCGGATTCCAGAGTCACTCGTCGGAAAAACAGAGTATCAACACTAAAGTCGAGCTCGGCCGCGCCGGCCAGGCCAGGCCAGGCCATCCCATCCCGAGCGAGTGGGCGCACCATCTGATATGTGGAACAGCTTTGCAGCCGACTCAGCCGCGAGTATCAAGTTCGGCGACCAACAATCTGGTGAAACACGCGGGGTGTTGTTGTACGTTCAAAGCCGCTTTGACGGGACAGTAGTGGCGCCCCGGCAAATATATTTCCACCCGTCGAGTGTGTGTTACTCGCGTCTTTTCCTTCACTGCAAAAACAGAGGCCCTCAGTCATGCCTTTCCAGGGGTGCTAAATATTTAACTATGAGGGCACTAAAGGTGCCAAAAATAAGTACCTCTGGCAGTTTTAGTGCCGTTGTAGAGGCTAGAGGCACGCTCAACTTTTGGTGCTTTTTAAAAGTGGGACTTGTCTTTTCAGCTCCTTGTTTTTTTCTGGTTTTTCCAATTTTCGGATGTGTTTTTTTAATTGGAGCGGAGGCGGAATTTTGGTAGGCACTTTGGAGTAGTGCGAGTAGTACATCGAGATACGTTCACGCAGACCCATACCGTCCTGGTCCGGGAGGGATACGCCTAACGGGGGGCTCCTTATCAGTGCGCGCGTTCAGGTCGCCCGCGGCGGGCGGGCCGTGCACGTGCACACACCTTCTGTTTGACGGCGCGCTGCTGACATTGTTTTCTCCGCGCGCGAACTCCCGCCGCCGCCGCCGCCGCCGCCACCCCCACACCACCCTCCTGCCCTGGTATTTAGTCGTCATAGCCTTCGCCCGCTCGCGGCTCCGACCTAGCACAACAACACCACCACCGCTAAACAGTTGGCGCCGCCGCGACAGGCACGCAACCTCGTATAATGGCGCACGCGACGACGCGACCCGCCGCCATAGTGCAGCAGCAGCAGCCGCAGCAGCCACGGCTCAACGGTATGCATGCACCGCCAGGCCACCGCCAGGCCACCGCCAGGCGAGGCACCACCGAGCATCACCATCATCACTAATTGCCTCTGAGCTTCATCCGCCGCGCACAGATTAAGTTTCTCGACCTCTTCCATTACGCTCTAATTTCTATCCACGTTCGCTCGCTCTCTCTCAACCTCTCTCTTCTATCTCTCTCTCTCTGGTAAACCCCTCATACCCCAATTACACACACATTCACCCCCTCCTAGTGTAAAGATCCTCTACCACCCTCCCACCCATATGGTTCACGCTTTCATCAAAGTCCCTGCTGCCCCTACACACTTACAACCCTCAAAACACTAAACAGTAGAAAAAAGACCCCTTTCTTTTTCATCCCCATCCCCATGCATGTGTAAGTATGCACTGTACTGTACGTGGAAGGCCAGTCGACCCCCCCCCCC